AGGAGCATACAGCCCTCTGTGCCTTGGAAGTTTGTCTTGTCTTTATAAGGATGCTTAGTCTGATTACTAGCAGTGCACACATAAAGCCAGGCTTATACCCTGTCCCTCTATTCCATTGGTTTATCTGCTACTCAGATCCTGACTCAACTTGGCTCTGGACTTGTGTCTGTAACTTGATTTCACCTTTGACTCTCCAAAGTGTATTTATATCTGTGCTTCCCTTGGTGTTTGAGTTTCAGCAGTCTCTGCCTTTTGACTCTCAAGAGTGTCCTGTTGCTTTGAACTTCCCACCCAGCTCTCCTCATGGAGGTTGAAACTCAATTTCTGCCTAGTATCCACTGGGCCAGTTCCTTTTTCTCAGAGTTAATGTTCTCATGTTCCGACAGAGCAAGATCATTGATAGTCATATTGATGGTCCTGTGTCACCAAAGATTAATCATACTCTATATTCTCTGTGAAGACGTGACCTTTTAGAAAAAAAATCAATTCAGTATGGTTGAAGGTAAACCTACTTTATTACTTAGATGGGTAGTCTTTCAACTATTATGAAAATCTTCATCATTCTCAATGTCTTACACCTTGAGGCTTTTAAAAAAGATTATACAGTGTAATAACTGCAGAATGATTCAGAGAATTTTAATTTAATATTATAGAATATAGAGTATATTATTTTTGAATAACATAACCAACTTTATTAGTAGCTTGCATAGCTTTCATATCAAACCATGTTGTGTTAAATGAAGCCTTTTTAAAAAAAACATTTTGTTTACAAATTTGTCTTTTAGGTCAGTAGCAACTAATACTTTCCTAGAGACATTATGATATCATAAAATAGTTGGAAAGGGAGATGGTAGAATAAGTGTTGTTGACATGAAATATTTACTTTGAGAGAATTCTTAGCATTTTTGCACCACATCAGCATAATGGGAATTTGTAGGAGAAGAGGGAGGCATTAATGTGCCTGCCTAAGATTAGTGTCCTTGTAGAGGATTTGTGCTAGTGAATATAGTATGGGCAGTACTATAACTATAGTAATTAAAAAGTTGCAAACTAAACACTTTGTGGATTAGCATAAATGTTCCTTTTCTCTCCTTGATGGCTTGCATTCAAGTGAATAGTATATTATTCATCTTGGTCTCTTAGCTTTCTTACCAAGAACAGAAAAAAGGATGACGGTCTCAAAGAATTGTTTCCTTCTTGAGATCTTGATGATCAGATGGGCAGAAACAGATTGGACCAAGTTATTTTTTAACAGTTCAGAAAAATGTCACACAGTATATACTAACAACAAATAAACAAAACCACTATTCCTCACTTTTGGAAACTTTGTCATTAAAGTTATTTCTAGACAGTACCACTGTATGATATGTAAAATGTGTTCAATATGATCAGTGATCCCTCACAGGTTATGTGTTATAAAGTAAATGAAAAGATGAATAATAGAAATATAGATTAGGACGAAACCATAAACCTGTAACTGAGTGAATTTTCAGAATTTTCAAGGAAGCGAGACTTGATTATCTTATTGATATCTATTGTCCCAGTGGGTTGAACCTGAGCAGGTTGCTGTGTGAATGAGCATCTGGGAGGAGAGGCGCCATGCTGTTAGAGTAATGACGTCCTGTCCTTCACACAGAAGGATAACAAAGAAGGCAGGCAGATGTAGAGTGGGCAATTTCTATTTCTTTGTATGCTCAAAATGTTCGCACCCACCTATTTCTCATTTCAGAGGCATCTTGTTTTTTGTAATTCATTATTTCTTAATCCTCTTAACACAAAATATTTATTTATGAGTTCATAAAGATTTCCTTTTGTGAAGAGGAAAGGAAATGCAGTTGAATGCAGTTTGCAGCTTGGCTTTGAGTCAATTAGGGTGGGAAAGAAAGGAATAGAAAGACTATTTCTGTTCTTGCTCTTTAATTGGCCTCCTTAATTGTGTGAACTCTTCACTTATGCATTGGTTTATTGATTTATCCTGTATTTATTGACTGCTTGCTATATATCCCATGCCCCATGGGTACAAAGGTGAATTGCCCAGTCAATAGGCATCCGATGGCTGTGAAACTATCTCGTCCTGGCTGACTTCAATGATGATATGATTTTTATCTGGAATTCTAAAATTCTGTCATCTTCCAAAGATGGCTTGGAGATGTTCATATTAACAAAACAGACATGCTGTGAAGCAACCTCAGAGCTTTTGATGTCACAAAGACTGCCTAGAGAACATAAAATCTACTTTTCAAGGCATTTTCATCGCATTAGATTTTTTAACAATCCTCGCTACTTTTGGCATTATTGGAGTGTTTTCCAAGAACTAAGTCATTCCACCCACTTCTGCATTTGCCAAAACTTGAGGTTGAAGAGTGGGCAGGAGACTGTAGTGAGATGACATTTCTACTGTCTTAGGAGGCATTATGCTGAGAAATTGCAGGGGCAGATGCTGCTGTCAACTCCACTCTCTCCTTCTTCTTGCCTTTACTTTCAAATGTCTGGCTCTTCATTTTCATTAGGTTAGTCATGCTATGAGAGATCTTTGAACTGAAGCATCTTAAGAAGCCTTATAAGATGTTAGGTAGTTGTTTCACTTAATTAAACCATATGTGAACCTTTGGAGAGATTTCCACTCAAAACCTAACATCATTTTAGAAGAGAGTTCTTCTATATCTTTTACTTATATAATATTTTTTTATCCTCTTAAGTTCTATGGTGCTTACTCCACAAACACCCCTTTCCACCTTGATGTTTGCTGGCATATATGTTTATTTACCTCAGAACAGAGTTGGGCTACTTTAATTTTGGAGGGTAACATGTCAGAAACCAATATTTTCGAGATCTATGTCCTCAATCTGTTTATGTGTCAACTCATTCTCAGCAGAGAGCCTTGTCAATTTATATACAGTGCTGATGTCATTTTGTCTATTGCCTCCAACATTCCAATACTGTTACCTACAAACTCACTATGACAAGATTTGTTTTTATTCTTCTAATTTTGATAGCCTTTTAATATCAGAGGGCTGTAGATTCTCCTTCCTTTTCAAGGTCAGCCCCTTCATCTGTATCCTGACCCTTTTTCCCCACCTCCTTTGGGATCTTATTCCATCCTTACCGTCTCCCTCTTGTACCTTCAACCTTTCTCGCTCTACTAATTTTTTAAGCTTATTAATATGGTCTTCCATTAGCACTTACCCCTTCCAACAACTGTCCATTCTCTTTCCTCTTCTTTTCTGCTTGCTGTGTTATATCTGCCTCCACCACTTCACTGAAACCGCCTCAATCAAGGTGGCCTGCTTAAGTGTCAAATCCAGAGGTATATCTTTCATTTCTCATCTTTATTCATCTCATTGTATCCCATGGTACCTCTCTGCCTTTCTTCCTCAGTCTTTTTCAAAAGATCTTTCTTCTGCCCATTCTGTCATTATTCATTTTCTCTATGGTTTTGTTTTTAGCACTAATCTTCTAATCTTCTCATTCTATCCAAATTCCTTCAGGTTTTTTCCCCAAGCTTCACACTCAAGAATATCTGGGTATTCCGACATGAATCTTCTACACCTCAATTTCTAGCACCCCAGACGTAACCCCTGTCTTCCTTATTAAATTTGTTCCTTCTTCTGTATTCTCTACCTCAATTGTCACTCCTATCTACCCACATGTAGTCAATTACCAAGATGTTCTGCTTTTGGTGTCTGGATATTTCTCTATACTGATTCAGCTCTACTTTTCCCTTCTCCAGCTACTTCCACTGACCTAATCCCTACACATCCTCTCTAACTAACAACCTAACTGCTCTCCCTGCATCCACTCTGCCCCTTTTGAATCCATCTAGAGAGAGTAATGCTTCCATAACCCAGATCTGACCCATCAGTGGCTGTCTGCAACCAGGTTAAGTCAGAGTTTTTGGATACATGTACAAGGTTATGATCTGGCTCCAGGCTTCTTTCCTGGCCTCACCATTCAGGGTCCATAACACTGAGTTACACCATGCATTTTATTACCTCTATCTTTTCCATTGTCTTGTGTCCCATTCCCAGCTTGGCTGAGTCTTACCCAGCCCAAGGACACGCCAGGCATTCCTTTTACTTGGAATCCTTCCCTGACTTCTTTATTTCTGGGCTAGGTGCCCCTGCTTGACATGAATCTGAATCATTGACTCATCTGACAATCCTACCAGGTCCGTTTTGTGTCTCTTTTGGCTCCACTAGACTTCACTTTCCTTAAAGACAGAGACTGCGTCTTATTCATCTCTATACTCCCAGTGTCTAGCACAGTGCTTAGAATATAGCAGGTGTTCAAGATATGGGTTTTAAATGAAAAATTAATAATGACAGTAAATTTGATGTTTATAAAAATGAACAAAAGTAATCTATGCACAGTAGTTACCTTTAGGAAGCTTCTAGGGTATTGATAATATTCTGAGTTTTTATCTGGTGTGTTCAGTTTAGGAAAATGCAGTGAGCTGTTCACTTGTGTCACGTGTACTTTTCATTTTCTTTTTTATACTTTTCTATATATATGTTTTACTTCACAAAAAGTTTTTTGAAAAATCACTTTGACATCTTATCTACCCAAAACAGACAACTTTTTCCCATTCAAGCTTTTAGAGTTTTTACAGGATATTAGTTCAAATGTCATAGCAAAGATCCAGGCTAGTACTCTTCCTTGACATTAAAGAAGAGTGAGATGAAAAGCATCAGGGAAATATGGATGTCTTGCCTGGTCTTCTAAATAGGGCCAGTGAGACCAGCCCTGATGGACAGACTTGCAGTGACCTGCACTTCTGTCACACTTATTATAGGGGCCACATGCTAATCATCAGCGAGCTTGGTGCCTGCCTGCAGTGACAGGGAGACTTTATCTTGGATATGGCTATGAATAATTCATAAATGTAGTTATCTGGAAATTTGTGGTCATGATTAGCATTTTAATGAAAAAAAAAAAAACGCAGTCATTATTCTAAATCTCTGTTTTGTTTCTGCTTTTTTTTTTTGTCCCTCCTACCACAGCAAACCATCTCAGTCTTTCCTGAGTACTTGGAACTGTGAGGCCCCTGCCAATGTGCTGACTGGTCGCTATGGGCAGACGGCACCCAGAGGCTCGCGGTCGTCCAGGCGGCTCATGTACGTATGGAACTGATTTCTCTCTTTTGTCCTTTAATTTTCATTGTAGACTGTGGCAGGATATTAAGCTGGTGAAAGTTTATAAGTTTTAACTAACAGTGTTTAGAAATGCTGGAGAAAGTTGCTCTAGATTAAGTTTTTAACATCAAATGATGAGAAATGTTATTGAAATTAGTATTTTTATAATCCAGTGGCCCAACGAGACCAGGGGTACATATCAGCAATCTCCCTTTTCTATTTCAGCACCAACAGTCGTGCATAGATTTTTTAAACTTTACATTTTCATCACAATATATAACATTTGAAAGCATAGCAATGCCATAAATTAAAAACATTTACCAGTGATTGTTTTAATTCTTTTGAAATAAAAAATGTTCGTGGACCCAGAGGTCCTCTGGGTATGCCATTGTTGACTACATGTTAGGGAGAGAGTCCCTGACTCTTATTTAACTCTCAATGATGAGTGTCAGTGTCTTAAAACCCTTAAGTTTTTCCAATAATCGTCTTTGGGGAATGGCTACAATTGCAGCCTTTTCCTATTCATCACTACCCCCAATTAACATAGAAAAAATGATTATTGCTCATTTAATGATTTCACTTATTTCTATGAAGGAGAGTTTGTCTCAAACTTATTTTTTCTCCCTTCGGTCTTTCAGGCTTGGGCCAGCTGTTTAGATATTTATTTACTTTTGTTGCTTCCCTTTGGACCTATGGAATTTTGGCTTCAAATCAGGAGTTTGGGGTAATTTTTCAGAGTGCCTTTGCTTTCATATCCTGTCCATAGTTATGCTTGTTTGTATTCCCTGTAAGTCCCCTTTTCCTTGTACAGTTCAGTTTTTTCTTCAGGAAAGTTAGAGCTACCCTTAAAGCTCAGACAATTGCTTCTACCATAGGCCTGATCATTGGGGGCAGCAGTGGAAGGGAGAGCTGACAACAGAGTGTGGGTTCAGCCCAACCACTAGGGTTAAAGCCAGCAGGGCTGGGATAGACAGCTTTCACATAGATACTTTAGTATCGTCCAAGGACATTATTATGTTACTCCAAAATTAGCAGTTTTCATAGTGAACATCAGAAAAAGTTTACCTGTATGCTGTAGAACAGAGGTTGGCAAACTATGGCCCATGGACCAAAGCTAGCCCAGGCCTGTTTTTGTAGGAGCTAACAATGGCTTTCATAGTTTTATATGGTTATATTTTAAATGGTTATAGAAATACCTACATAATCTCTAGTTTTTCTTGCCCCTCAGAGCTTAAAATATCTGGCCTGTTAAAAAAACTTTTTTGCCTCTCCTGCTATAGAAGAAAGTTGGAAGACATGTACTATAGTTGAACCATATGATATTGTTATTATTTGATCAGTTTTGACCTACCAAACTGTGTATTTCATGTGGTTCAACCTAATGTATTTTGAGGAAATTCTTTCAAATGGTTAAAGTTCTAGTTTGTGCTCTTGGAGTGGAACATGTAAATTTACTGGGAAAATTCACAAATGTGGACCTGCTCATTTTTTACCATCTCAGTGAATGATTCATCATGCCTTTCCTCTCCGGAGTGTTCCAGAAGGCTCTGAGCTGCAAAATCTTGTGCTGTCAAGTAGTTGAAAGGTAGCTCTTCTTTTTCACATGACTTATTTCTTACCAAGAACTCTCTAGGAGAAAACTGTCTTCTTATCTTACCCTTCCTGGGTGCCAGGAACTTGGTAGCCATCCCCAGAATGGAGATGGCAACGACTGCTACCTCAGGCCTCTACTGAGCATGTCACTTGTGCTTTTTTCTGGTGGGAAGGAGGGTGAGTGGCTGTCATTTCCATGAGGAATACATGATGTTCCCTTGGCCTGTAGCGTGTCTATGTAATGTATTACTTAAAATGTCCTTTTCTGGAATTAGAATATAGTTATATAGTTCTTACCCTTTTGTTCTTTCCATCTCTCTCTCTCTCTCTCTCTCTCTTTTTTTTTCCCAGTATTGTTGATTCCTTAGTTTATTGCATTAAAACTGTCATTTATTTTATGTGGTTTGTTCTCCGTTCCCCCCTCCCCTTTGTACTTCCCTTCTCTGGATTATTAAATAAGATTTGCTTGTTAAAACCTCTAGCTGACCTTCTTTAGCGGCCACTCTTAGTAGTAGGAAGCATTAACCTTAGCTGTTCTGTGTCCTGTCACCTAAGACGAGAAATCTAAGAGACTTGGGGCCTCTGGGCCAGGCCTTGGTCTGATCAGGGATGCACTGTTTCCTGGAGAAGGGAAACTGCTTCCAGGGGAAGAAATTCTCTGGAGTTTATAATTTTGTCATTAAGTGTGGTCAGAACCATTAATCAGGAGTTGGTAGTACATACTGCTGTGCTCTGAATTGTTTTTGAGGCTCACATGGCAACTTGGAATTTAGATTTTTCCTTCCTTCTGTTTTGGGATCATTGATCTGCCCTTCAAGACTATCTTCTTTCAGGTCAGGAAGCTGTTCTTTGGCAGAATGTGGAATGGCATCCATTAAGCACCAAAATAAGAAATCAAGAGCTAGAGCTGGTTCCCCCGATGTTTCATACAGATATTTGTGCTTGTGTTAAGACTATAGTTAAATTATCCTGGGAACTGCTAATATGATTGCATCCTTATTTATTTTTGCTCACACCTATCGGTTCCTTTGCCTGATTGCAGCCATGCTTTAACCTGGGCTGTCAAGATCTGGACTTTTGCGAAAGTCTCCTGACCTCTGGCCTGAAGTCCCTCTCCCTGCAAATTTGACTCATTCATAAAATCCAGATTAATCTCACTGAATTATAGCTCTGATCATGTCACTTCCTTGTTGAGAATGTTAATGCATCCATCTAGTCCAGAAGTTCACCCTGACATGCAAGTCCTCCACATTTTCTTTCACTATTCCTCACTTTACTACCCTTTACTTATGGTTAATAATTGCTGTTAGTAGTTAATAGTATTACTCCTCAGTAGATACCTTATGTGAGCCTAATTGGTGCTCCACCAAAACACACCACCATTTGTCTTGGGTCACTGTGCCATTGCTCATGCCGGTCTCTCTTTGGAATGTAGATCCATCTTTTGACAATCTGCTAAAACCCCACTCTGGCTTCAGGGTGCAGCAGAGTTTCCCTCTTTCTCAGGAAGCTTCCTAGTTTCCCAACTTGCAACACATTCCCCTGGAACTCTTAAATCTCCCTCCTGAAGCTTGTCTCCCAAATCACTCTTTATATTTTGACATGTGTGTATACTTCGTCTGAGCTTTGACACTAAACTCTTTTCATTTCCCTCTTCTCATCTGTGTATGAGGACGGTGCTGTATCAGTGGTTGATTTTCAAATATTTGTGGCATCACCTTGGGCTCCGGGGGGTAGTAGATGATAACTATCCCCAGGAAGCTCCTGTAAAGCATCTTTCAGAGCACTTGGCAGAGCCTGCGTAGGCCTCTAGGGCAGCCCATGTGCTGTGCCACATGCTGCTCACCCGCCCTAGGCTCTCCGTCTGCCTTTCCTTCCCTCTCACTCAGAGGGTGGGCATTTCCTCCCTTTCTGTACTTAAGAAATTGCCTTTTAAAAAGTTTGAACAGTAACAGGCACGTGTGATTATTTCTTTTGTCCTCCCTCATTGACTTCCTTGCACTCACTGATGAAGGCATTGTTTTTATTTGTGTTCCTACTCCATGTCACTGTGTCCTGAATTTACTATAAGTTTTTCACTTCAAACTGGATACTTTGAAAGGTTCATCTTATTAGCCCCATTTCACAGATGAGAAAATTGAGGCTTGAAACAACAAGAAAATTTGTCAGAGCACAGTTGCAGTTTGAGCCTAGGTCTATCTGTCCTCGTGTCTGTGTTCTTTCCTCCCACCAGGTTTCCTAGTGACTGATCACTGGGGCAATCACGTGCTTACATGATATCTACTCACTTGTTCTCCCCACTATGGCTTTGGTAACATGGGTCTTAAAGGCGTAAAGGCTTCATCATGAAAGGATGCTGATACCTGTTTCCTATCTTCTCTTTTATCCACTTCTTAAGCCCAGTAACCACAGGTAATGTGAAGGCCCTACGAGAGCACTTCATAGAGAAAGAGTAATAATAATACAGTAATAGTAACAACATTTTAAACTTCATACAAGTAATAGATATTTAATATAGAAAAATTTTGAAATCAAACAGAAAATAAGATCTCAAAACCCTACACACCAAGAGGTAACCACTTTTGACATTTCATTGAATACTTCTCTAGACTTCAAATATCTTCTTGTAATATATTATTTATTCTCTCTTTATTCACAGAAATGGGATAACATTGCTTATTGTGTTTACTCAAGGAAGTGTCATAAATATCTTTCTAGACCAGTACATTTACTTTCATAGCAACTCGGAAGTAGCTGCAGCCTGTGGTGACTTATTTATGGATGTTCCAGAGGGAGTCAGTGAGAGCAGGTGAATGCAGAGGCTGAGTCACCTTAATATGAGAAGGCACTTTTATCTTGGTTAAAAAATGCTGGTCAGGACCCATTAAATGGATTTTCACCATCTATTAATAGGTCTCAACTCTCAGTTTGAAGAGCACTGACCTAGGGATCATGCAGGACTGGAGGGTATGCTTGGGCAGAGTCGGAGTGTGTGGTGGCGGCATTCAGAACTCGGTCAGGGTTTGAGGAGGTGTTTGGGGTTTGAGTTAAGACCAGGAGCCTGAGAGCAGTGCTCAAGATCATTAACAGCCAGTAGGTTTTGCTACCCAGAACAGGCAGGATGTGATGTGATATCCCAAGAGAGGGGCTTTCTGCTCTGGTTTTAATTGGTTTTCCTGGTGTGGGAGGAAGTCCTGCAGATGCTGGTGATTGCAGCAGAGGGGCCCCTGGGGAATCTCACAGTTTTAGTAATAAGATTCCATGAATGAAGAGTGGATATAGGAGTTGGAAAATGTTAAAGGCAACAAGATTTTTAAAATAGCACTGATTAAATTTTTATTCTGTCCGGGGGATGGAGAGAGATATCCATTTATTTTAGAAAATGTGTA